GGGGGGGGAAATAAGTTCAGAAAATCATCTTGCTGTTCGGGGTCGGGGGCTGCCGATCTGGTGGCCAGAAATGAAATGGGGAGTAGCCCCTTTTCCATAAAAAGTAAAATTCCATGCTCCTTCCTCTGGCGGCTTCTGGGTCACGGGGACCAGGCTCAAAAAGTGGCCGGTGGCGCGATGCGCCCGAGCCCGGACTCTGCCTCGGCGGCTCATGGGTGCTCCCGAAAAGTGGGAAAGGCCCCTCGGCTTTGCCCGGAGCGCATCAATACAAACCTCCGAAGAGTGCTGGACGACTGGGCGTCACATGCTCCTGGGTTTCAAACGATGAAACCTTTCCCTGAGCAGTTCGAAAACTCTCCCTAAACACTGTGTCACTATCTGATCCGTAAAGTTTAATATTTAACCTTTGGGGGCCCTTGGCTCCCTTTTCTGAGTTTGGTTCCCCTGAGCTCGCCCTGAGACGCAGAATTAGTTTTTTCGAGAGAGAGGGTGCTATGTGCGTTTATTATTTTTGAAGAGATTCGTCGCCCCCTCCCACCGCCCGCCTCCGGCCACTGCGAGTCGCAAAGTCTAAGTCCGAGGACCCAAGACGTGGCATTCTCGCCCGAGGACTGGAAAGAATCCTTCAAAACAAGCTTTGGTTTCATTTTCCATCGCCCTGGCCTGAGAAGCCTACAGCCCGAGAACTTGTCCTGGCGCGGGGTATTTGGGGGGCGTCAGAGAGGAAGGGAGGGACTCTATGGTCTCGCTCCTACCCTAGCTTCCCCCGACCCCAAAAATAACCTACAAAGAAAACGTTTGCTGCGCCGGCCGACCGAGGGGCGCCTCCCCCAGCGTTGTACAAATCCCCCTGTAGTTCCAGTTTAAAGCTGTTTGTTTAAAAGATTTGTCGTTCGCCGATTCCCGTGGGGGCGGGAGGGGGTCTGGAAGCCAACTCTGCCCTCGCTCTCCGTCTGTCCGCAGCAGCTCGGATTCCTGATACCAAGAGGTTCGGGCGCTTCTAGAGCCGCCGATCACGCCAAAGCCACTGGCTCCCGGGTGCCCGCCCTGCGCCCCGCGATCGGCGCCCAGTCCCCCGAGCTGCAGACCCTCTCAGCCGCAAACCCCTCTGCCTCCTCCAGCCTCCCTGCCCAACTTTGCTAAGGGTGCTTATTTTAACCCGGTTTTGGTTACAAACACCCCCTCCCTCCCTCCCCTGATCTCTCCCATCAGGCTCTGGTTACCAGATCCGCGTTTACTTTGGAAAAAATCTAAGATCGCCACATCCGAAGATACATGTCTTAAGGAGGCGATGAGCTTTCCGTGATTTTTTAAAAAATGTTCTTTGTGTAGCTGTCTTTTAAAAGCCAGAGCTTCGGGGCATGTCCCGGCGCCCCACTTTGGGGAACTCGGGATGAAGCCCCCCCAGAACACCCTTGCTCTGGTGGAGAGGCTGGCTCGGCCATCTGCGGGCTCTGCTGCGTTCTCCCTACTTTTCTCCCCCTCTTAAATGCAGTTAAAATGGCTGAATTCCGGCTTTTAATTAAAAACAGCCTATAATCGAAAACGTCTCGGCGTCCCTGGCTCCCCCGCCGCCTGCCGGGAACCGAGAAGGGAACCGACGCCCCTCGGCCGTGCTAGGCGGGCTGGAGCAGGACTAGGGGCTCAGGTGGGCGCCCGGGGCGCAGGGACTCGCCCCCACCCCTCCCAGGGCGCCCCACCTCACCGGCCCCGGTCCCCCAATTCCGTTCTCGGGAGCCGGAGAGCTGCAGGGATCCCCGGCGCACCCCAAGGGGGAGGCGGCGTGGAGGGCCATCTGGAGAAGTTTGGAGACCATCGCGCCCAGCCA